GAAGGCACTGCCTTGCAGTGCATTCCACCCAGGTTTGATTCTCCACATCACATTTGGTCCCCTGAGCACTGCCAGAGGTCATTCCTGAGCACAGAGCCAAGAAGAGGTTCTGAGCATCACTGGGTGGGGCTCAGTGTGACTCCCCGCCCCAACCCCCAACCTGCCCCTTGTCCCAAATATTGATGTTAATACGCGTAGGAAAGTGCCAGGCACATAATCTACCATCACTGCTACCATCCTCATCACTATTAGCACCACCACCCTCATCACAACCACCACCACCACCATTATCACCACCACGACTATCCTTACCCCAATCACCACCGCCACCATCACCACCACTTCAACACAACCATCACCACCGTCATCATCACCAGTCACCACCATCACCACCATCATCATCACCAGTCACCATCACCACCATCATCATGATCACATTACCACCCCACCATCACCACCATCGCCATCAATGCCATCACAATCACCACCACCATCACCATCACCACCCCCATCACCACCATCAGTCACCGCCATCACCACCAGCACCAACACCATCATCACCATCACCACCATCATGATCACATCACCACCATCACTACTATCACCACTGTCACCATCACCACCGTCACCATCACCACCGCCACCATCACTACCATCACCATCACTGTCATCACTATAACCATCTTCATGATCACATCACCACTACCATCACCACCACCACCATCATCATGATCACATTACCACCCCACCATCACCACTATCACCATCACCATCAACGCCATCACCATCACCACCACCATCACCACCATCAGTCACCGCCATCACCACCATCACCAACACCATCATCGTCATCACCATCATCATGATCACATCACCACCATCACTACTATCACCACCACCATCACCATCACTACCTCTATCACCGCCACCATCACTACTATTGCCATCACTGACATCACCATAACCATCTTCATGATCACATCACCACTACCATCACCACCATCACCATCACCAACACCATCATCACCACCACCCACATCACTACCACCACCATTACCACCATTACCACCACCACCACCACCATCACCACCACCACCATCACCATCGCCACCACCATCTTCCTGACCACATCACCACCACCATCACCATTCCTGTGTCCCTGTCTCTGAACCCAGTGCCATGAACTCAGAGAGGAACCTGTCTTTTTGACCGGTGGACGCACATGGTCTCGTGTGAAGGAGAGGAAAAGAGCTCAACAAAGCATTGCAGGGAGGGGTGGGCGTGCTGAGCACCACGAAAGTGTGGCGGAGGGAGTGGTTGGCCTCGCCTAAAGGTGCTGAGGGACATTTCCCTGTACTCTCGCTTAGAAGCGAAAGTGACACATGCCAGGGCTCCAGTTCCTAATCTTGGTTTTACACAGCTTTGCTAAACATGCCTCTCTGTTTTCGGGTCCCTATCTGAAAAATGGAAATACTTTGAACTCCCTGGAACCGTCTTTTGGATTGTTTAAAAGCACATTAGCAATTTGTCTTCATATCTAACAAGGAGAGTCACACACGCGAGTCACCCGCAGGCAAATCGAAAGCGATTTCTTCCTAAGGGGCGCGGTGAGAGCGGGAGGGAGGCGATTCTTTGGACCTTTCTACAACATTATTAATTGATAATCCACAACTTTATAATTTGGACTAATTTGGGTGGACTGGGCTAATGTTTACCTTTCATGCGGTATTTAAAAAGGGTTCACCAAGCTGATTCAGAGAAACCAGAACTGTGAGCAGAATGTTTATCTGCTCCGGGAAAGGGCCATCTGTTCTAAGCCTTGCACAAAGCCCGTTTATAAAAGCTTGCTTTCCCTCCCCACTTACTGGTTTACAAAGCCCATTCGCAGGCCTCCTCTCAATTTTTATTTGATTTATATATGTGAGGCATATCAAGGCAATATAAACAAGGGCCGAGGGTGCCAGTGCCATTATCAGTGTCCTTTCATCTGCCCCCGAAGATGGGCCCTCTTCTCCAAACAGTGCCAGCAGTTTACAGAACTTCTCTTTAAAGAGTGAGTTCATTTGTTTTCAAATACCGCAGCCCGTATGGGGTTTAGTGAATTCAGCCCTAGCCCGCCCTCTAAATGACTATCAATTTGTTTGAATCATGTCACAGAGCGGTTCTGTGCTGGGGATGGTGTGTGTGTGTGTGTGTGTGTGTGTGTGTGTGTGTGTGTGTGTGTGGGTGATGCTACAATTCCGCAATTTCTGGAGAGGGTCACTACCACCACCATCACCACCGTCACCACCACCACCCATTCACTGGGTGAATGTCATCACTGGGAGGGTGGGTTCTGTTGGCATCCGGTGGGCAGAGGCCAGGGACACGGGGCATGTCCCACAGTGCTCCCGGGTGTCCCTGGAACAAAGCTTCTCCAGGCCCTGTTGGGGTTGGTGATGAGGTTGAGAAACCTTCCTTGATATGTGACCCTCCTGCTCACTCACTTGTGTCCCTGCAG